TATCACTCACATCAATGTCCCCGGCTAGCCCCAACTGCTTCTCTAGATTACCACAAGCCATCATGGAATTCTCAGGCCAATCAGCTATCTTCGCAACGAATAGAAATTTAGCGAAATCCTGAATCGCTCACGTTTCAAAAAGGTCAATTTACAAACGGACACATACCTGAGGCCTATCGAAAAAATCATGAGGCAGTTGAGATGCTTCAATCATCATGCGAGGTATACGCGAATCGCTGGGAGAAAACTTAGCCCACTGTCGTTGAGCTGCTGAAGCAAGCTCCAGTTTCCCTGTTGCTAAGCGAGAATTCTTCTTTTCCAGGATCCCTACCACCTTCAAATAATAAATTCAATGGATTACGACCTTAAATTAAAGGAAAATAGTTTTACCTCAGCGGTTTTCTGCAAACATGAATCTGGTATATCCCACTCATCCAAAGGTAACTGGGACAGAATCCGGTAAGTCGGCTTTTTCTTCGAAGATTTATCTTTATTAGAAGTCTGCTGAACATTGGGAGATTCTGCAGATGTGGACGGAATCACAACGTCATCCTGAAGCGATGAATATCGCACTTACATAAATGATTATTTCGATAAGATCACAGTAAATCTCCATCAAGATTTTCACTAACATGTGAGGCATCTTCATCGATACCTCTGTAGCAGTTATTCTTCGCCATAAGAACGATCAGATTGAAAACTTCGTGATCATATATGGCGACGATCTTACAGTTCAGATGTGAAATTACTGAGTGTCTTTCAAAGTTTCATATTCCATATGGGTGGCATCACTATGACTGTTTCTTACGTCACATGTCTACCACCTATGAGCTGCACAAGGCAAATGATATTGGCACTAGCTAGAAGAGGCAGGCTGCACACTGACCACTACCTCAACACATCCAAACTGCAGATCCGTCGTCCTCAGACCTTTTACTTCTCTCTTCATTTCGTCTTAGGCGAAAATATACAAGTATACAAAAAAAGCACATACCGCAATTGAATCACCTGCGTCCATATCCGAGACTGCAGAAATGATTTCGCTTAGCAATTCGGGTACTTCAGCAAGCTCCTAAATATGTGCATTGCATTATGTTCTTATATATATATATATAAAGCTGAACGT